TCCACTGTGGAGGTCCTTCCTGAGAAGGGAGGTGTCCCAGCCCCATCAGGTCCCCCAGTCCAGGATTCCAGCACCAGGAAAAAATTCCCCAAAACTTCTGACTGTAAAAAACAGTGGGAATTGTGGCTGAGGGAGGAGACAAAGAGCTCCTGAAGTCCCTCCCAGGCAATTCTTTGGAAAAGGCCCAAACAAGGACTTCTTGGACTCATTGGCTCTGAACTCTAGCCTCGGGCTGAAACTTCAAAGATGTGTCAGGGACATACCTGGAGAAGCTGAATTGTCTGCCTTTAGGGGCAGGGCTGAAGAGTCAGCTTTTTCCCAGACATAAGTGCTGGCAGCAGCCCTTGTTCCTTTGCTGAGACTTCTCCCCAAAGAGCCAGCAGGTGAGCCCCATATCTGTGTCTCCATCAACCTAGCTCACACTGTTAGCCCCTTCCTAGTGATTTCCTGAGACTCAGTCCCATCCAACTTGCAGGCTCATCCAAGCCCTTTCCAGTGGCTTTTCCATACAAACAGCTTGTCTGGGCTCATGCTTCAAATTTTCCTAAAATCTCTCAAATGTTCACAAACCCAAAACAAGCAGCATCTGGCCTCAGTGTGCCTCGTGCCTCTTACTAAGTAGCCCCAGATGCAGCACTAGTGGTTGGCAGCCTTGACACCTCCAAGCTCAGCACAAGTAACAGCGGTCTGCAGATTGCTTTGTACCTCATGCCGGATGGCCCTGGACAAGGCACAGGCAAAAGGGCCTGCACCTACTAGACCTAGCATATTAGGTGGCCAGCTTCAGAAGCATCACCCAACCACTTCTACCAGAGAGACGCTCAAGGGTCAGACTCATCAGGCACCAGAGCTCTGATGAAGTGAGTCTTGCTCTGTGGAGTTGGGTCCTGCACAGCAGATCCTGTGCTGTGGTTGCTGTCAGTCCTCACAGCTGATTGTCCTGGGGGTAAATCCCTCCCAATGACATGCCAATAACAATCAAGGCTCAACTATAACAGAAGGGTGCCCACAGCCCACAAAGGGGGCACGCCTGGAGAGCCTAGCTTGGGTGACATGGGATGCTACGCCACTGGGCGCAACAGAACACCTATTACAGAGGGCTACTTTGCCAAGACTGGAGGACATAGCCACTCTACCTAATACATAGAAACAAACATAAGAAGGCTACCAAAATGAGGAGAGAAGGAAACATGTCCCAAACTAAAGAATAGAACAAAACTCCAGAAAAAGTACTAAACAAAACAGACAAGCAATCTACCAGCTGCAGAGTTCAAAACACTGGTTATGAGGATGCTCAAATATTTCAGTGAGAACTTCAACAAAGAGATAGGAAACATTTTTGAGATAGACAACATAAAGAACCAGTCAGAAATGAAGAATGCAAGAACTGAAAGGAAGAAGACATTACAGGGAATTAACAGTAGAGTAGATGAAGCAGAGAATCAAATCAGGGATTTGGAAGATAAGGAAGCAGAAAATATCCCATCAGAACAGCAAAGAGAAAAATGAATCCTACCCCCCCTCCCCCTCCCCCCCCAAAAAAAGTCAGGACAGTGTAAGAAGCCTCTGGGACAACTTCAGCTTAAGTTCCTTGATTCAGCTTATCAATATTCCCAACATGAGGGTACAGAAAGAAAAGAGAGGGAGTAAGAAATGGAAAGCCTATTTGAAAGAATAGTAATGAAAACTTCCCTGACCTGGTGAAGGAAATAGCCATACAAGGCCAAGGTGGATAGTGCTTTACAATGAGCCCATCATACAGCACAAGGACTCCACAAATGTTTAGGGGATATTTTTATACACACCTTCAAATCTGAGTCCAAGCTGAGTGAATCAAATATATTATGTGCCTTACACACACACTCACACCACTGTTATTTGTTCTAAGATGAGCCTAAATAAAATACTGTCACCAAAATATTTAGGTTCATAAGTATATTCCTTAAAACATGACCAGTAGAATAAATATAAAAAAGAATATTCACCTCACTAGAACAAAAATGAAGATTAAAACAGGATTTTTTTTATCCATCAAATTAGCAAAGATTTTAGAATTATAAAAATGTCAGGGCTGGGCAGAGAAAGTCAGGTATTCTCATCTGTAGTAGTAATTGATGCAATGTTTCTAGAAAACACTTGGGAGTACGTATCAAAAGCCTTAAAATATCTCTGCCATTTACAGTTTTACATATCCTTAGCAGCCTTATTTCCCTAGTATTAAAAAAAAAAGAAAAACTGGAAACATCCTTAATATTAATCAAGATGAGAATTGAATAAATTACTTGCATCTGTGAAAATAGAGCAGTGGCAGCTATAACAAGATTTCTGAAAACATAGGTGGGGGAATCATTATGTACAAGTATATAAGCTATACGACCCCATTTGGGTTTTTCTTTTTTCAAGAAAAGTAACAAAAATATATAGAAAAAAGACAGAAAAGAAAGCAGAAAATTCGCTACACTAGAACAATAGTTTATTTCTAGGTTGTGGGATTCTAGATTATTTTTGTTTATTTTTTATAACTTCATATATGTACACACACACACACACATGCCTAAGCGACCAGCTGACCAGCCAACCATTTGACCAGACAGTAGCTATGACGCACACTGACAACCAGGGGGCACGCTAAATGCAGGAGCAGAAACCACAGGCATGGAAACATGGAACAGACTGATGAATCTCAGAGGGAAGGGAGAAGGTGGGGGGAGGGCAGGAAGAAATTAACCAAAGATCTTATATGCATACTAGAGGCCTGGTGCACGGATTTGTGCACTTGTGAGGTCCCTCTGCCTGGCCTGCGGGAATCGAGCTGAAACAGACTCTCTGACATCCCCCAAGGAGTCCCAGATTGCGAGAGGCTGCAGGCCAGGCCAAGACACCCCACCAGTGCACAAATCTGTGTACTGGGCCTTTAGTATTGTATAAGGTATTCTAAAGTGATATGTATTACATTTTTAGTCAGAAAACAAATTTATAAATCTTATTTTGTCAAAACATTGTTAACAGCAACAGACTCACTCCTGGTTAAATCCACTGAAAATAATGTTATTAATGAGAATGCCACGATCAGCAAACTGCAGTCAATCCAACTGCAACAAATCACACTCTGAAATGATTTTATAATCTTAAAAAAGGCAAGTCTCTACCCAAAATTATATGACAGAGGTCTTAATGCCTGGGTTTGCCACTAGGGTTCAAGGCTTTCCCTAAATCAGGGAAACTGATGAGGTCTTGATGCTATACCAGCCTTTTGCTTGATATAAAAGGCCTTTTGAAATTGTATGAAAATTTCCATAGGAATTCTAGACACCGTTTTGAAAGTAAGAGTTGTGACATGTCTTGACAGTTGTCACTGTTAGCCTTTTACTTCCCCTTTTTTGCCTTTGAAATCACAAAGCATTTCCAGAGTGCCATCCATTGAGGAGAATCCTTAAAATATATACCCAGTCATCCCCCTCTCCATTTTTATATAATCACTATTTTAGATATACATTCCTTAAACTTCCAAGTAAAAGTAAAATTCGTGAAATTTACAATAGGCCAATTCACTACAATATTTTACTAGTTTACACTGTTTTAAAGTTTGCAGAATGAAATAAATACAAATAATCAGCATTATTCCTTGCCTTGCATAAATGTTCACTGGCCTTCAATGACTGACTATTTCAGTGGACTATTGGAAGACAAGGAATATTACTCTTACAGATTAAAGATTTAAAAGTTTTAGAATGTCACCTCAAAACTTCACTAATTTAGTAAATTTCCTTTACTAAACTGGTGTGGAAATACAGTTGACCCTTGAATAACACAGGGGTTAGGAGAGCTGACGCCCGCACATCATGCAGTCAAAAATTCACATATGGTCCAGCTGGCATGGTTCAGTGGTTGACCATGAACCTATGAACCAGTAGGTCATGGTTCAATTCCTGGTTAGGGCACATAGCCAGGTTGTAGGCTGTGGGCTTGATCCCCAGTGTGGGGTGTGCAGGAGGCAGCCAATCAATGACTCTCTCATCACCGATGTTTCTGTCTCTCCTTCTCCCTTCCTCTCTGAAATCAATAAAAATATATATATTTTTAAAATCCACATATGACTTTAAACTCCCCAAAAACTTAACTACTGATACCCTACTGTTGGACCAGAATCCTTACAGATAAAATTAACACATATTTTGTATGTTATATGTATCAAATACTATATTCTTATAATGAAGTAATAACTTAGAGAATAGAAAATGTTATTAAGAAAATCATAAGGATGAGAAAATACATTTACAGTATTTCCTGAAAAAAATCCAAATATAAGTAGACCCACATAATCTAACCCCATGTTGTTTGAGGGTCAATTGTACCTGGTTGAGCATAATCATCAACCAGAATGCCACCTTTCTACTTAGCAGTGACAATGCTACATTGTTCATGCTACATCTGATGCAGCACCAAGATCTGCCCTGAGAAGTTTACACACATGGCTATTCCAGCAAAACCTGATCAAAGAACACACCCTCCTGGGGCTACTTCCTTAGGGGCTGCAGAATTGCACAGTAAGGATGACAACATGGTTCAAACTGAGCTTTTCCAAAGATGCACACATGTATACAGAGAAGTTCAAACTGGGAAAATAAAGAGAGGGAAGCCTTAATGCTCAGAAGTGCAAAATCCTACTTAACAGTGTAATGTAAGCTGTGACCATCTACTCACCAAGAATGTGTGTGTAAATGCTCTGTATACATTAAAATCAGCAGGAGTTTTAGGTATGTTGTTATTATTAGGATCCCCACTATTCATTCTTTAAAAATAACTTCTTAGGATCTGAAGCAAATTATGAGGGACAAAATATACTTCAAGGAGAATATTAATATTAAGACTGTATATTCTTATTTATAACATTATCACACTTCCTAACATAATTTAAATATAATATTTCACCAATATTGCCTCCTTAAAATGACAATTTCATCACTAAAACATAAATGAAAATAGAAACAAGTACTTACTCACAATACCAAACTGTCCCCAGAATAGAAGTACAGCCAACATTGGGAAAATAACAATAAGGATATTTTCATTTGGAGAAAACCATGAAACTGGAGAAAAAGAAAACAGAAATCATGATTAATATTTACTATCACAACTTTAAGTCCTGCTAATTGATAGTCAATTAACTAATTGCTTAAGTGTTTTCCACCACATTTCCCCTAAGCTGTGATTTATGGAAGGAGGTACTATACCCCAACTGAGAACAGGGCTCCATAGCCCCACTGCCTGGGTGTGAAACCCAATTCTAACTTACAATCTGTGTGACCTTGGACATTCTAACAACTCTCTGTTCCTCAGTTGCTACACCAGTACAACAATTAGTGACACCTTGAACGACTACTGTTAATTATTAACAAAGTTAAGATATGAAAAGAGCTAAAAACAAAGCTTGACCCCTCAAAGTGCTCAGTGAACATTAACTACAGTTATAATTATGGGGTCCTATAGTGATTGCCTGTATGTGTAATGTGCCAAGAATTTACCTCAAAGGAAGAGTTATCTTCCTGTAAAGACTGACTCAGGGGACAGGAGTGAGGAAGTAGTACAACTGGGTACCCTACCCTTGGTCTTATTGTGACCTAAGAGTAAGACAGATGTGAGCCTGAGCTTTTCTGAAACTTACTCTGGAACAGAGGATGAATTCATAAATAATTAGTCTTAAAATGACTGCTGACAAAAAGTAACATGAGGAGCTTTAGGTAGTAAGGAAGCTTCTATCAAGTGGAACATGTGTTACCCAAACAGTGAAAATGCAGCTACCCATCCTATAGAAAGGAAATTGTGATATTAAGACTTCTAATGAAATTTGCTGAGAACTTTTAAAAATTACGTTTAATTGCATCTGATCAATGCTTAAGGCCATATTTTTATTGATGAAATTTCTCCTGTAACAATAAAGCCAGGTATATGCACGGAAAGCTTTTCAGAGTTTGCCTAGACTGGAAGACTTGCTGGGTGAGGAACACTTCTGAATAGTGCACAAGTCAAGCACTGGTGTTGCTCTGAAATGATCCCTTTCAAAATCTCCACTGTATCCACATGTGAGGATCCTTGTGGGCTTTCACACCATAATGCTAGTCACACATTTCTTGGGTTAAGCTTATAATGCTAAACTCTGGTAAAGGTTCATAATCATCCCCAGAATATAACAACACTATCAATTCTTATCTTCGAAATAGTAGCTTTCCAGATTCCAACATTTTGCCTGTACATGGCAGAGACTCAATAGGTTTACTATTGATGGTTGAAATAGTCATAGGACAGTTTAGTGAGTGAATAGAAGACAGGCTTTTGTGATGCTCCCATGGTTGCAGATCCACCAAGAGACTGATATTTTCAGGTACCCTGAATCAATGCCACTTTAATTTCCAACTGAATTACTGAATCTCTTCCTATACCAAAGAAAGCCCATTTCCATTCGGTCTAAAATCCTACAGGAAAAACCTTTCTGAGTTTCCACATGCCTGAAGGATCTGGTAAAAACTCCATGATTTAGTGACTATTAATCAACTTCCTTTCTTCTACCCACTTTATTATTTGGTTTTGAAACATTAACTTCTCAATCCTTATAATTATTATGTGAAGAATTATGAACCCCTCCTTACCACTGAGAAAACTGAGGCTGCGTGAATTAAGGATTTTAAGTTTGCATGTCCCTAACTGACTCTTGATACCCCTCTACCCACCCTCACCATACCTCTCCCTCTTGGTTTTTGCCATCTCAGTAGTGGTAACTCCATTTCTCCAGTTGTTCAGGCCAAATATCATGGAGTCATCCTTGACTACTTGGTTTCTCTCACACCCAACATCTGGTTCCACAGTCAATTCTCTGGGCTCTACCTTCAAAATACAGTCAGTATCTGATCTTTTGTTCAAGATCAGCTGACAATGAAATGTTCTTTCACTGGCCTCTCTCCCTCTACAAGGAAACAATCTTCAACCACCTTAGGATCTATTATTGAAAATAAGAGGAATATTTGACCCTGGTCTGGCCACTCATTTTGCACTTATTACACAAACATTTATTGAAAGCCCACCATGGCTAGGATACTCTTCTGGGTATTTGAGGTCCAGCAGTGAACAAGGCAGATGGGCTGATGAGCTTGAGGAATGGGAATGGGTGAACAGACCCTTGTGTGTAGTAAGGAAAGGGCTCTGGGGAGAGGAACTGGATCCAAGCCTTGGATGAGAAGGAACCTGGTATGAGAAGACAGAGAAGAAGAGACTCCAAAGGAAGAGCAATCAATTGTGGCTAAAATTTAGTGATACAAAATGAGTGATGAGAGATGGGAAGAGTTTGCTGGGGCAAGCTCATGTTAGGTCTTAAGAGCATGTTAAGAGAGTTTGTATTTTACTCTAAAAGCAATGACAAGTGATTGGAAAGGCTCAAGAAGGGAAAAAAATGACCTGATTTATTAAAATTCTTCATTGGCAGCCATGTGGACATTGAATCCAAGAGAAGCGGGACCTATCAGAAAGTTACTGTAGCCATCGCATAGAGGCAGGAGCTAGGACATGGCCCACAAATGCAGTTCTGATTCAGTCTTACTCATCACATTTTTTTTTCTTTATTGATTAAGGTATTACATATGTGTCCTTATCTCCCCATTAACCTCCCACCCCCACCCCACTCATGCCCTCACCCCCCTGGTTGATAAACAGGGAATCATTCCAAAGGAAGATGACTGGAATGGGGAACCCTGAAAACAAGAGCAAGAGTTGAAACAACTGGGTATTCTTATCTTAGAGAAGAATAAACTTGGGAGAGAAACACTATAGCCCTCCTAGTAAGTGGGAACTTTCAGGATTGCAAACTTTAGCTTAACGTACAGAACGGGAAGGGCCTGATAACAAACCTTTAGGAAGTAACAGTCTCATCATGACAAGCATGTAGGTAAGAAGTTTGAATGACCAATAACCTAGGGTGTGATAAAAACAATTCCTGAACTAGATGGCAAAATAGCCTAGATGACTCCAAGCCTCAGTGCAGAAATAAGTGTGAGAGATATTTCAATGACAGAAGAGGGTGGGATTACAGAACACAAAATATGGTCTAAGCCATTCTTAAATGAAGCCTATCAGAATCACCGGGGTTTATTCAAATTTCACGCACTTCACACACCTTAGTCTCAGATTCCACCCCAAGATTTTAATATATTCCCCATGGTAAGTGTATGTGTTTGTGTGTTTGGGGAGGAGGGGGTGTTGCCCATGCTGCTCTCAGTTTAAAATCACTGCTACAAATCTCTGCTGTAATTCACATGAATATGTTACTGTCTCTAATTTGTTAAGGTGAGAAGAGTTGGAGGATCATTAAATCGGATGTTCAAAAACCAAATGAGATTATGGGGAGAAACCCAACTTTTTCTATGAGACCACTTATATTCCCATTAAGCTACTGAGTTGGTGTGGTAGTGCTGCCAGATGACTTTACTCTTGTTCCCCAATGGGAGAAGAAGGCAAGATAGTTCTCTAAGGTTCCCTTGAGCTCTAAATTTCAATGGCACTAAAAAATAAAGCTTAAAAAGGACTAAGAACAATATCAGTTAGTATTCCACCTCAGGATTAAGAAAAATAAACCAAGGGCATCTACGCTGTCATTCCACTCACTGTATAGCTGACAACTGTGCCTATTACTCTCTCCCAATTCCTGGTCAGGTCGAGTGTCTCCCAGGAAGATAAACCCCTTTATTGAAAAGGCAAATAAATGTTATTAAGAGACTATTTAAATTTTGTTGCCAAGCTGGAATATTATAAAACCCCACCATTTCATTTCTCTTACCACTGTGTACAAAATGGGATAACCAAAAAATGAATAAATCACTCCAATCAATTTACTGGGCTTCTTCAAATATATAGAGGCATACCTCATTTTATTGCGCTTTGCTTATTGTGTTCATTGATGTTGCCTTTTTACTAATTGAAGGACAAACCCTCCACCAGCAAAAAGATTACAGCTTGCTCTATTGCATTACTCATTTTATTGTGGTCTAGAACCGAACCTGCAACATATCTGAGGTACGCCTGTGCATGGTAAACCTTCACAAACACAGAGAACATCAGTTTCCACAAACGAAGGAAGTCACAATAAAAGTTACACTAAAATTTAAGCCACATAATAACTTGACATTTTAGGATTGTGATGGCTTTTCTGAGGCAATAAATTGCTATAGCCTCAGTTACTTAATCAAACCGCAAATCCCTGCAATCAGCCTTTTATAATTTCTTTCCCTTGCAGTTCAGGTGGGACTGTGAATAGAATGGATTTCATCCCCAGAATTGTTGTGTCACATGACCAAAGGGATTTTGCTTGGTGTGATTAAGGTCCTCAATCAGTTGACTTTAAGAAAAAGAGATTGTCCTTGGAGAGGACTGGCCTAGTGAGGTGAGCCCTAAAGAGGATTTGTGCTCTTCCTGGCATAAGAAATACAACAGGTCACAAGACTTCAATGAGAGGGTGGTATTCCTTTGCTGGCTTGAAGTGTGGAAGAGGCTGTATGACAAGGAATGAGAAACCTCTAAGATCTGAGAAAAGTCCAGAGCAGACATCCAACATAGAAACAGGGACCTCAGTCCTACAACCAGCAGGAACTAAATTCTGCCACAATCATGTGAGCTTGGAACAGTATTCATTTGCGAATACAGCCTGGAAACGCCTTTCTTTTAGACCCCAGCCACACTGTGACCAGAATCTGTACTCTAATAAACGGGAGCTCTTTAAAGCTGGTGAATTTGTGGTTATTTGTTACACAGCACTAGAAAACTAACATAAGGATCTTGCAATGCCATCATGTCAACATTATGAACATAATGTATATCATGTTGACAATGACGGAAGCTCTGTCTTTAAAAAAAACACTAAAGCTTATTTGGAAAAATGTAAAATTTTAAGCTTCCAAGTGTTTGTATCATTAATAATATAAATATAGACATTATTAACAGATTTTATAACTATTATTTATATTTAGTATTTGGTTGTGTACAAGGTGTTGTAACAGAAACTATACACCATGGGGATAAAAAACAATACTGGGTTTTGAAGACAGATCTAGGTTAATATTCTAGCTATGACTCTGACTTTAAATAAGTACCCTAAATCTCTCTGCTTTTAAATGGTAAGTCCTATATCCATCTTTCAGAGTTCCTGGGATCATAGGACACAATATAAAATATCTGGTATGTGCTCAAATAAATGTCATTGTACTATTCTTTTTTAAAAAAATATACATTTTATTGTTTGTTTGTGTGTTTTTTACAGAGAGGAAGGGAGAGGGATAGAGAGTTAGAAACATCGATGGGGATGTGCCCACAACCAAGGTACATGCCCTTGACCGGAATCGAACCTGGGAGCCTTCAGTCCGCAGGCCAAGACTCTATCCACTGAGCCAAAGCGGTTAGGGCTGTACTGCTCTTATTTGTGCTGTAATTGTATCACTGAAATCAGGGATCATGTCTTAGTCACCACTAAATTCAAAGGGCCTAGTACAGTGCCTGTCACAAAATAGGCATGCAATAAATATTTTTAAAGGAGAGATTAACATATCTCAAAACAATCCTGTGATTAAGATAGTATTCCCACTTTACAGATAAAAACTGAGGGCCAGATAGTTTGAATGTCTTACCTAAGTTTTCTCAAAATAGAAAAAGGTACAACATGATCTCACTCACAGGTGGAATGTAATGAACAAAATAAACTGATGAACAAAATAGATCCTGACACATAGAAGAATGGAACAGACTGTCCAATCTCAGATGGAAGGCAGGGGTGGGTAGAAAGAGATCAACCAAAGAAATTGTATGGATATATGCATAACCCATGGGCACAGGCAATGTGAAGGACTGGAGCAAAGGGCCAGGGTGGGGAGGAAGGGGTCAATGAGGAAAAAAGAGGACATATGTAATACTTTCAAGAGTAAAGAGTTCTTTAATAAAATAAAATAAGAAAATGGTGAAGTATAGAAAAAAGCTTTCTAAATTCAAATTTCTGTGTCCTCTCTATGGTACTATAGTCTACACAGGCAAAACTGTATTTCAATTATATTTTAACATATTTAGTCCTTGTGCTCCCCAAAAGGGAACAAAGATTGGCTACCATTAATCCACATTCTACTAAGTGGAATTCTCTATTAAGCAATTTCAATTCTCCTTTATGCCTATATTAAAAAAAAAAAAAAAGCACAACAGTAAAAATGGCTTCCACTGCTTAAATCCCCAGGGTTCACAAGATGGATAAGTAAAGTTATCACAATAAATTTGCAAGAACCTGTTTCAATTAACCTTTTTGGGAGAGGAGTTTCTTTTTTTTTCTTTTTTCCTTAAAAAAAAAAAATGGTGCAAACAGTGACAACACCAGATGCTGGCAACGCTGTGGGGGAACTACATCACTCCTATGTTGCTGATGGGAATGAACAATGGAACAACCACTCTGGAATAGAGTTTGGCAGTTTCTTCAAAAACTAAGCCTATACATACATATGACCCAGTAGTTGTACTTCTATGTATTTATCCAGAGAAATGCAGATTATATGCACATAAAAACCTGTACATGATTGTTTATAGCAATAGCCAAAAACAACTGAAAACAACCAGATATCCTATAGTAGGTAGATGGTTAAACAAGGTGTGATATGCCCATAGCATTGAATATTACTTAGAGAGTGAGGTATTGCTATATGATGCTATGCATTAATAGATTTCAAAGGCATTGTGCTGAGTGAAGAAAAAAAAGAAAGCCAGTCTCAAAAGGTTACATACTTTCATATAACATTTTTGAAATGACAAAGGTATTGATATGGAGAGCAAATTATGCTTAACAGGTTAGGGATAGTAACGGAGCTGGTGACTATAAAGGAGCTGCATACGGAGATATTCATGTTAATGAAATATTCTATATTCTGATGGCGGTGGTCATTACAGAAATGTACACATGTGATAAAAAGAAAAAGAAATATATACACAATTTAACATTGTGAACTGGGTGGTTTTGGCATTTAACTACTGTTACATAAAATGTAACCACTGGATGCAGCTGGGTAAGAGTACACAGCACCTCTCTGATCTATCTTTGAAACTTCATGTGATTCCATAACTCTTTCAAAAAATAAAAATGGGTGCAAGCCAAATGTCTGAGACCTCAGGTAGAATCTTCTACATTCTCTACAACAAAACACCACCCTCACATTTTAATGGCCCCAACAGTAAGCATAGTTCTTATATTTTTAGGGGACTTGGAATACAAAGATGAAACAATCACACAGACAATTACAAACTTTGTCTTTATTCCAGAGATTGGTATCCTTTCCCATCCATCTTCATCCTATAGTCGGGCCTTTAAGTCTTGAGGTAACAATTCTCCTCTAAGTGACCTACACTCTAATCCAAAATCACCCACCCCCACTGTGAGTTAATGACATTTCCAATGTAGGAGAGATTTTTGAGCAGAAAAGCCTTCCGAAGTCTGCTCGAAGCCATCTCCTGCCCATGCTACACCACACAGACACCCCTCTCATGACAGCCCAGGTTCTACACCTCAGAACCTCACTTCATAAAATAAACATCCTAGGAACACAACTAACATTTGCAAAGTACTTTGGTTTACAAAGGACTGGTACACAAGGGATCTCATGATGCTTGTTAGACTGTAGAATACATAAAGCAGGAATCTATTTTCATCCCCATTTTTTTATTTTTATTTTTTAATATATTTTTATTGATTTCAGAGAGCAAGGGAGAGGAAGAGAGAGATAGAAACATCAATGATGAGAGAGTATCACTGATCTCATTGATCGGCTGCCTCCTGCACGCCTCCTATTGGGGATCGAGCCCGCAACCCGAGCATGTGCCCTTGACAGGAATCGAACCTGGGACCTTCCAGTCCATAGTCCAATGGTCTATCCACTGAGCAAAACCAGCTAGGGCTTCACCCTCATTTTAGAGATGAGGTAACTTGGACCCAGTGAAGTAACTCCTCAATTTCAATAGAGACAAATAGTTACGTTGCAGAATAGGGGATGTAATCAAACCTCCTGATTCCTAATCCTAAGCAATGTCAAAATATTCCATCAGAATAAATATCCCATTTCCCATCTGGTAATAGACATTTCATAACAGGAAATGCTAGAAGAATAGAAGGCAAATAGTTGGTTCAACTGAATGATCTTATCCCATCTAAAGCATAGATCTCAAAGGCTTGTCTAATCCTGAGAGCAGTAATATGACTAGTGGTTCTAAATAGAGCTTTCAAAATAGAAAGTCAGTATGCACCTGTATGTGGTTAAAGTAATCAGCTGGCATGGCAAGGACTAGAAAGAAAGCAGATTGTTTATTTCAGCTAGCTTTACTGCTTTATGCAACTCACCAGCCCAAGTCTGTGAAGAAGGCACAATCATGGTGCTATAACCAAGGCTGAATTCAAATTAATTCTGTTGGATCCCTAGCTCTCCCTCATCTTGGCCAAGAAAAAGAACACACACCATAGCAAGGCTGAGCACATGAAAGCTCAAGAAAACATCATTGTAACCTTATTTTTAATCTCTCAATTCTCCTTCTAATCTATTCTTTCCAGCTGGAGCATGGCTGGGACTTTTCAGCCCTTGACCAAAGTACAGGTAATAAGAAATAAAGGTACATAATTGGAAAGATCATGGAAAATTAATCACATGAAAGATAGTACTTTTGAGAGCAGCAAACAAAAAATGCATATTAAATGATGCTAGGACCCCTCACCCCAACAGAATAGTTTTCAGGCCAAAAGTTTGAGAACCTGACAATACACAAACAACAAACAGCAAAGGAGTTTTATTATGAAAAGTAGAAGAACAAGTAAAACTCATGATCTTAAAGCTGCTGAATATTACGTAATCATTTATTAGTCATAACCTACTTTTTGATTCAAAGGAGTTCCTCGCCCCATTGTGCCCCATTTCTAATAGGATCAGGTTACTGCAGGACAAATAAAATGAAAGATTATAAAATTCTTACCAACACGATATTTTAGTTCCACGATGGTCTCGCCTTCTCTAGTTAATTCTGTCACTTCGCAAGTGTAGTTTCCTGGGACAGCATGGCTCTTGGCCATCTTCAAAGAGGCAATGCCACTTAGTAGTGCTTCCGGAACGATGAATGCACTCGAAAAGTTAATGTTGGGGCTGGATTCATTTTTATCTCCATCATAGAAGAAAATGTCTTTATCTCTGAATTTCCACTTTACAAACATTTCTTTAAGGTTTTGTGCCTCCACATTATTAACGAGGCATGGAATTACAACAGTTTTATTGCAAGTGGTGTATTCTGCAAATTTGGTTATATTAAATATTAGCTGAGCTGAACCTGGAAAAGAAAAAGAAAAGAGTTTCATATCATTATAGAATTCTGTAGCATAAGATCTTAGGTACATTACAAATCCTTAAGATAAAAAAGCAATGCTTCAATTGTCCCCTTAAGTATGCTGTGCAGCTACAGAGAGAAGGCAGGGCTGGTGAAGAAGGGAAACAAGTTATTTTAATATTAAGGTGCACAGATAGTAGAGACCATTGTAACTTTTCCTTGTTCATTCTCAGTAATACACAGTATACATTACCAAGAGTATTGGTAATAAATTCAGCAACCTGTGTTGGAGCATGCAGGTGTATATTTGGCTTCAGAAGCTTTGAAGTAATCATTGTTGCTCACTGATGTACGTAGAAAAATATTGTCCTTACCATGGAAAAATTTTGAACAGAAAATCAAACCAAATATTATATTTAGTTTCAACTTCTATATACTGCCTCCAAACATAACTTGCAAAACCCATATGAAGTTTATCTCTATCTTTTGGTTGCATTTCCAAGCAAGGTGGTGAGCTATACTGGACTTTAATATAAAAAGTAAATCAGATGAACCACATCACATCTTTCCTCTAAGATGGGAAGTCTTAGAATGCTAAGGAACAAACATATTCTCTGGCTATATCGCATTGCAAAATACTGACAGCAATGGACATTTGGTATGCAAATACTATAAAGAGATATAAACAATTGAAAGGCACTTTCTCACTCCCACATTTCATTGAAACTAGAGAACAACAATTTCCAAATGCATATTACAGGTATTCCTTCCTCCTAAAAACCATAAACCACTCAAAATAAAGCTAAGAAACAAGTTGAAGACAATAGATACTGCTAATAAATACAATATATTCTATTAAACACTTATCAATAGGATAAACTACCAGTTGTCTTACAAAATAGGGATTGGGAAGGAAAATGCAATCACTCATCTTTCACCTAATATGTTTAAGATTGTGGAGAAATTATAGTTCTTCCCATATTTTTTAGCCATTTATCAACTATTTTATCTAGGTAGTTAGTTGGACTTTCCCCAAAAAACAAAACAAAACAAAAAAAACACCATAAAGCATTAACAAATATAAATATCAGCTTTAATAGTTCATCCTTATAGTTCTTCCTTCTAAATAAATTGGGAATAAAACTCAGGGGCTTAGGATGTTATTATTCTAGAACCATAGTATTCGATAAATGCCCATTGAGTTGAATGCTAGGATGCACAGTGAAATATGAACTGAACAAGGTTCAGAAAGCCTGGGTACAAATTCTACCTGTCCCTTGTCAGTATGTGACCTTAAGCAATTCACATAACTTTTCTAGGCCTTGGTTTACTCTCTGCAAGCAAAGGATCAGAAATGAACACCGGACAGCTTCACAGAATTATGGCGAGTATCAAAGGAGCAAATACATGGACAAGAGCCCTCTCAACAATGCTGTGCTGTACATATGCAGGTAATACTCTAAAAACTGGGCAAAACAGCATTTTTATGCAATGATCTAGACTCAACATGTCAAACTCGTGGCCCACAATGAATATTTTTGCAGCTCAGCCAATATAACAGTATGTAAGAAATGTTTTAATAAACATTCCATAACTTAGTTTTTACAATATTGTTTTATACATAATCCTATAAAATAAAGATGTAATATGCAAATGGTCGTTACACCATGAAGCGTAACAACCGACTGCGTAAGGACGACCCGATCATGGATCAGCAGGAGCTACTGCTGGGGCAAGGAGCTACAAGCAGGCAGAGGAGAGCTACAGGAGGGAGCAGGGCAGCAAGCTATGAGGGGGGTGTGGGGAGAGGTGCGAGGGGGAAGCTACAGGAGGGCAGGGCAGTGGGCAGAGATCTACTGGAGGGCGGCAGCAAGCTACTGGAGAGCTACTGGTGCATGGATTCATGTGCAGGGTTTCTAGTTCTTAATAACGAACGAACTGCAATGTTCGCTAATGACTGGTTACTATAATGGTGTTGCATTCATTTCCCTTAAGCACCTTATGCGCAGGTGCACCATTTCTCTCCACTAATACTAGCAGTGAATATTTTAGCAGCCAGTTGCCACGTCATTAGTCTTGTACTGACTTGTTTGGTGTGCAGAATAGGGAATATTTCACTTTCAAAGAACAAGAAAAATAGGTTTATTTGCAGTACGCTTATTAATTTGTGCAGGTATTCAGTATCTGGTAAGTTAATGATCACGAAAAAATATTAATTTTTATTAAAACGCTCTATTATTTTGTTAACAATTACTCATTTATTTCAGCCCTTTGTATTCAGCATGTCTCTATTGAAATAAACCTAAATTTCTACGAAAATTGAAGCTTTTGTTATTTTGCAGTCCACATAAACTTAAACCTTGCTTATTTGGCCAGTGTTAGCTTTTGAGTTTAACTTGCTTGATCTAGATTCTAGACCTTCTCTGACTGGGAGGTGCAAATTGTTATGTTTCTGGGAATTTGCAGTCTGAACCAAGCTTGTGGCTCACAAGCTGACTTCTTCCCAGTTCTCTACACTTCTAGCCATCCCTGTATTAGGAAGCCCCAGGCAAAACCTGGATTTCCAATTGCGTTTTTCAAAACCATGGGGTTCTGAATTATTTCCCCTGAGAAAGAAGCATTGGTGGGGAGGCTATAGTGCATAACAAGGAGAGAAGAAAGTGGTTGTGATGTTGGAATTAGAAAAGAAGTGTCAGAAAATATGGTGCTCAATTTTAAAATGGACAAAAGGACTAGATAGTGTCCTTTCAGTGGGGATCTGGGTGTTGTCTGACAGATCCCGTGGGAATATCTGAATCTATAAGGACTGTGCCTTTCACTGTGTTTGACGTAGCTATTTTACAATTTTATTAAGTTGTAGAAAACTGAGAGTAATGCAAATGATTCATGTCCACAGAGTGAGACATAAACGTTGTTGCGTAATTAATTTCCACCTGGTAAAAGAGAGGATTTTAAGGGGTTTTTTTTGTTTATTTGTTTTCTTTTTAATTTGCATACTTTATTTTTTTTAAATCTTTATTGTTGAAAGTATTATATATGGCCCCCTTTCTCCACCGTTGACCCATTCTAGCCAACTCCCGCCCAAGCCTTCACCACCCTATTATCTGTGTCCAGAGGTTATGCATATATGCATATGAGTACCTTGGTTAATCTGGAAGAGAGGATTTTTTAAAATTACATTTTATTGCCATAAGGATGTTAACCAATTGCATATATTCACTAATTCATTACAGCTTTCCTGGTTGCCTATACATGTGTCTTTTCTTCCAACTTTATTTAAAAGCCAAGATGGTTTTACCATCCTGCTAATTTGCTTATTAATGTGTGAATTAAATCTTTGACAGATGGTCATTTTATATTTGTTTGAGTCAAGATATTACTTTCTAAAAATTGTCCTTCAATAAAAGATACATGTAAACGCATTTAGAATGCTCTCCGTAAGTAAAAAGTGGTTGGCAAACACTCGACAATTTTATAACTTCTGCTTAGAGAATGGATTTCCAACAGAATACAGGAAGTACTAATTGCACTGCATTATTTGTTGTAATATGCAAGATCTTATAGCTGAATCCATTTAAATACTAGTAGAATTAGTGCTGGTAATAAAAATTAAACTAAAATTGACCTGGATAAACCATAATTTGAATAACACTTGCACTATCTATATATATAAAAGGCTAATATGCAAAGTGTCCCATCGTGAGTTCGACCAGGAGACTCGGAGTTCGACTGCTTGCTATGATGTGTGCTGACAACCAGGGGGCTGTGTGGAACAAAGAAAGGCCCTGGCTGGGAGCTGGAAGGCCCCAATCGGCCCTGATGGCTGGCCCTGATGGTAGGGACCCTAACCTTGCATGAATTTCGTGCAGCAGGCCTCTAGTAATTAATAAATAAGGGTAGTCCAAAAATGTCACTCTACCAACTGTTAACCACAATTACATCTTCTATAAATACTTACTTAATCACTAAAAGTAATAAAAGTATCTGATTTGGGTTTCCTCCCTTTCGCCTACTGCCTTCTGATGGAAAAACAAAGTGAAGAAAAGATTTAAAACAGAAAAAACAAAGAAACACAAATAACTAACATGAGTAAGAAAATTCTGAATAATTAAGATATGCCGATAGCAGTCTGAATCAGATAGAAAGGTATTAATATAACCATCAGTGATGTCAGGGTTTACAATAAATCAAAAATGAAATGGAAAATTATTTTATGTTGAGTGGCAAAAATACTGAACTCTACAATCTCTGTGAATACCAATCACCAATCTAACCATCTCCTTCCACAGTCCTGAAGACGGCCAACATGTGGTTGCAAAAAGGCTCAATATATGGCTCAGAGTTTTTAAAAATGCAGCAAAGATTTATTGAGAATTAACTGATGAGAAACATTGTGATAGGATGTGTGGGTACAATGATGGGGCGCAGGGTGTGAATTATCTTTTCAAAGCTTCCAATTCTCACTTGGGGGAATGATATGTACTTTTTATAACACAGGATTACGTGTCTTCCTTCCTGTCTGAGCAAAGTGCTCTGGAAGGGCAGTACAGGGCAGGAATCAGTCTTACAGGTTTCTAAGAAAATGCGTGTTGTATCAGGGAAACACCAGAAAAGTGTCATCGTCCCCGCCCACTTGGGTGGTCTTCAATCTTTTTAAACAAGTTTCTCTCCTTTACATCAGCTCTTAAATCACTCTCCTTCTACAAGAGCTTATTCCATACTATCCAAAGCAGCCCTCTCTTCTTATTTCTTAACTAGAGGCCCAGTGCACAAAATTCATGCATGGGTACAGTCCCTAGGCCTGGCCAACAATCGAAGCACAAGTGTCTGGCATGGAAGGGCAGGTCCCAGCTGACCTCCAGGCCCTGGGCAGCACCTGGGCCCCCAGGTTCCTGCACACCCCCTTCCGCCTGAATCATGGCTCCCGAGTCCCCACAGGGAGATGCAGTGAGCGCGGCCGGATGCTGCTGGCCCTGGTGCATTGTGGACCCCTGGACCACCTA